CACTGATCCTCCAAGTGTCCGAGTCCCACCGGTCATGTTCAGCTCGATTGATGATCCCGATCTTTCAGCCGAGATTCGAGCGTGTGAGACATGTCGTGACCAACCTTCCGCATGTTGTCTTCATTGCACCGCATGTTTGTGTGATTCATGTTCCATCAACCATGTTTGCACCATGAGGTGGGACACCCATGAGCCCTTCGATGAACCATGTGACAGTCATCTTGCATGCGCAGTTGAAATGGAACCTCCTTCAGATCAATTCATCGGAGACCCTGAAGACATATGGCTGAGTGTGCTATTCGAAGGGAGTTCAAACGTCTTCAGGAGGAGGAGGATCAGCGGAAGGGTGATTTTTGGGGCATCGGGTCTCGGTACGGGTATGTTCGCTTCAGTGGGGCTGCCATGCGTCTTCCCAGAGAAGTTCGTAACCAATTGGCTAAGTTGCATGGACATTTTGGTCACCCCAGTAATGAGCGACTAGCCCGTATGCTCCAAATCAATGGTGAAAATAAGAGTGTAATCGAAGGAGCCAAATTGATTCGTTGCAGCATTTGTGAGAGGATCTCAGGACCGCGGTCAGCACCGCAAGCATCGTCCAAAGCCCCTGGTAGATTCAATGAGCAGTGTGTACTTGACAGTTTCTTTGTCTTGGATTGTTCCCGCCAGCGATGGAACATCACCCATATCCTTGACGGTTTCTGTTCAGTACAATATGGCATTTGCTCCAAGAACCCCAGTAGTGCAGTCAGTGCTGAACTGTTGTTTGAACGCTGGATCATGTGTCATGGCCCGCCTGCTGAAGTGGCTGTGGATGGTGGCAGTGAATTTCGAGGCACTTTCGAAGCCATGTGTCGTGTGTTCGACATTAAGGTCAATGTGATTCGCACTGCTGCCAAATTCAAAGCCGGTTTGAGTGAACGTCATGGAGCCATCCTGAAACTCATGATCCTTCGTCTCATCCATGAGCTAAGTATCAATAAGGAATCTGAACTCAAGCTTAGCTACTGCCATGTGTTGTCAGGCAAAGAACCGTCTCCTTAGGAAGTGTGGCCGGTCACCGTTGCAGGTGGTGCAGGGACGAGACGTCCTGGTCCCCTCAGCCCTCGTCCAACAAGTGGCAGATGGCGAGGTGCGGATGAGCACCAATCATGCCATCACACATGATCGCATGGAGCAGTTGAGGCGTGCTGCCATGTCAGCCTTTCAATGGCTGGACTCGCATGAGCGTTTGAGGGTAGCTCTCAACTCCCGATCTCGTCCCCCGGACGCCAGGAACCATTGTCTACTTCATTACTTCCACAAGCCTCCGGGACAGCATCGCCGCTTGCAGGACAACGCCACTGGACAACAAGGTCCAGCCGTGGTCGCTGCCACGGAGGGTATCGATAAAGTGTGGGTTCGGTAAAAGGGGAGTGTAACCCGGGTAGCTCTTGAAAATGTCAGACTAGCAACTCCTGAGGAAACTTTAGATACTAGGCTATCGTTGCCAGTCCGCCGATCGGTCATGACATGTCAGCACCAGTTGTAGGAGACATGCCTTCACAAACGTCAGTGACACCAAAGCCAGTAGGATCCACAGACCTTGCACGAGATGACACTCATGCATCGATCGCTGAACCCACTGGTCTGGTGCCATCCAATGTCCTCCCGGAGGCGGAACAGAGTCCCGAAATGTTGCAGCAGCTTGAACGATGCAGGCAAGCAGCCGACCGACTTGACGGGTACTACCCCCTCCCAACAAGCCAGCCATTGACCCTTCGCATGATCCAAGCCTTCCTTCCACCATGCCCACATCCTCGACTGAGGGTAGTGCACTGACTCCTTTTCGTCTTGAAGATGCCAGGGTGAAGCATAAAGTAGAGTTCTTTGAAGGGGGAGCGCAAGCACATGTTTGGGATTCAATTCGTGAGCGTTTAGCTGATTGGGGGGATTTGCAAGACTCAGCCCTGAAGCGTGCCAGGTTGGACAGCGACATCCGTGCAGCTTTCGACTCCCTGGACCAAGGCCATGCGGTGCTGAAGCGAGAGCGGAAGCGTGATCTGCAAGAGGCCAGTAACATCGAGAAATCAGGTAAGTTGAGCAAGAAGGACATCCTTGGTCCTTCTAGCATTGAAGGGAGAATGTCGACCTCTTCAGAGACGGCTGCATTTGAAGTGATGTGTGAAGCCGGGGTGGTGCCCTGGGCTCCGGAATGGGCCCCTGCTTGCTGGACGCTTGAAGTGACAATTCATCAGACGTCACAACACGATCAAGAAGATTGTATTCGACAAGAAGCCAAACTTTGTGAAGCACGATTTGCCCTGTTTTAACAAGGCTTTGATGAGGAATTGAAGAACAAAGACCACCTGGCGCTCGCAATGAGATCTATGTCAAGGACATGACTGCTGCGGAAGTAAGGCTGACCATTCCGGCCTTAGTGAAAGCCTTGGCCATCCACTTCGACCACGAGGCCATTCGTGCCGTTCCCATGGGGCGGATTGTGCCCAAAGAGCGTGTGATTCGGTCTCGAATGGTCATTGTGAACAAGAAACAGTTGTTGAATGGCTTTGAGCCCAAGGGTCGGTTATGTGTAGGAGGACATCGTGATCCAGAGCTTGGTAAATATGATGCCGCCAGCCCAACAGCCTTGTCGGTTGTTCACGCCCTTTTGTTGTGCATTGCAACGACTTTGGGATGGACTATGACTATAGTGATTGCTGATGTGACCGCAGCCTTTTTGCAGGGTTTAGAGTTGCCACGAACAGATCCCTTGTTCGTGCAGATCCCATCCGGCTGCCCACCAGAAATTGCTGAATATCTCAAATGGAGACTTGGTCCAGACAATCGGAGTGACATCTTTGAGGCGACCAAAGGAATCTTTGGACTGAGTGAGAGCCCTCGCTTGTGGTATCTGAAGTTTCGTGAAACACTCAAAGACATTGGTTTCTCCGAATCCAAACTGGTTCCTTGCTTGTTTTTGAAGCACAACAGTCGTGGAGAGTTGATTGGGCTGGTGACTTTGCATGTGGATGATGCTTTGCTAGCCGGAAGCCCTGAGGTAGCAGAAGACTGGAAAACACTCCAGACTCGACTCAAGTTTGGCAGCTGGACTGATCTGAAGGAAGGAGGAAAATTCCTTGGTCGTGTGATGCGTCAAAGCGACGATCGACACACAGTGACAGTGGACATGAACCTTTGCTGTCAGGCCTTGAACGAGATCGAGTTCAATGCGGCCATGGCCGATGAAGCACCAATATCTCCAGAGCAGGCTTCGCAGTTGAGAGCATTGGTAGGACAACTTGGTTGGCTTGCTAAGCAAGGACGACCAGACTTGGCCTTCACTGTGTCTTTCCTGCAACAGAATTTGGTGGACGCTTCCGGTAGCACACTTCGCCTTGCCAATTCGGTGTGCACAAGGCAACACAAGAGACTTGCTTTTACATCAAAGGGTTAGGTTGTTCCTTGAATGAAATCATGGTCCTCGTGGCCACTGACGGAGCGCTAGCAGCCATGCCCCGGGGAAAATCCCAGTTGGGGATCTTTTTGATGCTGGCAAGCCCCAAGGTTCAATCTGAGATGAATGCAGTTGCTCCCATTGAGTGGTGCAGCACCTCATGCAAGAGAGTAGTTCGAAGCTCGTCAGCTGTAGAGGCTGCCGCTGCGTCGCTCGGATACGAGCATGCTGAGTTTTTGAGAGCAATTTTGTGTGAAGTGCGGGAAAGCACCTTCGTGACGCGTCGATGGCTTGAACACGTGAAACTTTGTCCCATTTTGCTGATCATCGACGCCAAAGTGGCGTATGATTGTTTATGGAGTGAAGAACTTCCTCAGGATCGGAGAACAGCTCTGGACATCAGAGCACTTCGTGAAAGTTTGGCCGATCCAGAAGCTGCATCCTTCTGTCGGTGGGTCCCAGGCCCTCAACAGGCCTCTGATTGTTTAACAAAGCTGAAAGGCAATAATGTTTTGCAATCGATCATGCTGTCAGGTCAATGGACCATTGTTGAAGATGATTCGTGGCAGGAAGTTCGAGCTCAACAAAGGAGCACACAGAAAGCCGGGCCTATAAGAAACGGCTTAAGCTCCAAAGAGGGGAGGCGGATGAGTCAAAGGATGCATGACCACCACGCTTGATCCTTTTGTTTTCCGTTCGTGCACGCAGGCATTTTCACTTGACTTGGAGCCCATTGCGGCCCAATCCCAACTTGAGGAGAAAAGAGGGACGCGTCCGTTGTGCGCTGAGTTCATGGTTGCGCCTGCTCCGCACCACTTTAAGTGATTGACAGGACATGGATAGACTATCTGAGTGACTATCCAATGATATCCAATGAACTGTTTTCGGGACTCATACCGTTTGTGTAGTTGAAAACGATGACACGCTAAGTTGACATGTTTTTAAGACGTGAGTGGGTACTGACGCTCTTGAGGTTGCTTCACTCAAGGCCGTTGAGGAAGCCACGGCGACTACCATCAGCCAAGCCGAGTCTTTCAGGATTTGCTGTTTGGCATTGCCTTGCACTGCATGAAGGGCTCTTGATTCATTATGATTCATCAACATTGGTTTGTCGCATTGGTTGGAGCTGCTCCTCACTTGCCTGACCAGGCTGCGAGTGGCCCCTCCCCACATTCCGCACACTCTTTCCACAGCATGTCTGTCGGAACCTTCAGAGTACAAGAGTCAGAGTTGCTGCAATTACAAGAGGGCCTGCTGGAGCGAAGGCTCGCAAACATGAGTCCTGGAGATGCCTGAAGGTACGTTACATGCTGCCGCATGTCCAAATGAAACTACTATCTGATCGAAGGCATGACAAGCAAGAGAAGGAGGTGTGCGGTCAAAGGCAGCGAGATGATCTAAAATGAGATGGGATGCAGTGACCTGGGGTGAGTGCGGATGCCGTTTGCCGCTTTGGTGCTAACCCAATGAAACTAATAGACTGTAGGTGGTCCATGCTCTGTTGCGCAAAGGTGTCTGAGCGAGAAATCTGATGCAAACTTGACCAGACCTATGCTGTGCGCCCCGCCAGTAGATCAACAGCCCGCTCGCTAAAACTGCAGGATCCCTGACGGCTGGAGGATGTTTGCAAATTTACATCCAAAATAGACTGAAACAAAAGGAAACTGAATCTCTAACCCACTTGCCTATCTTGATGACCAGGGCTTTCTTCATGGCTACTAGGACTTTCCTCTGCTTCATGCTGAATGGCCTGAAACATGGCGCCAAATACTAAATACATCTAAATACTACGTGTTTCCAAATGCCAAGCATGTCAACCATATCCTGGCCTTGAATACTCGAACTTGCACCTCTGGCGAGGACTTTGAAATTGAGCAATTTGGGTTACACACACACAGTAAGCAAGCACTCTTAAGGCCTGAGTTGATCCCAAACCCAACCACTGCATCAAGGTGGCAGTGTGGAGTTGGCATACCTGACAGAGATGAAATTGGTGTTCGGCGAACATGCCAACCTTGCAAACCTAGCAAAAAAGAAAGGCCTTTCAAAATATCCTTTCATGCTCACAACTTTGGCCTGGTGTCCGCCAGGCTGAATCACCTCGAGGAATCGAATCCAACCCAGCCAGGCGAATCTTTGCAGCACAGCACAAGTGTCAATTCAGGGCACTGCTTGCTGCGGCTTTTTTGATTGTGGAGTGTCAGTGAAGGATTGCTGCAATGCCTACAGCCAAAGAGTATTCAGCGGGACTGTTGCACCAGATCAGTTCCCAAATCTCATCTCTGGGGCTTCCAACAACTGCAGGGAATTCTTGCGTGTTCTTTTGGGCCTTGACCTGCAGCAAATTGCGTGTGATCCTAAGACACTTCTCTCAGTTCTGCGGCCTCGTGTAGGAGTGCCTTGGGAGCACAATCATGAAGTAGCAATGGATTCAACAAAAAATTGCATCGTTTGAAATCGAGTCACTTCAGCTAGCGGAGCCCGCGCCAAAAAGGTGTTGGACCAATGATCGTCTGAGAAGGCCTGGTTGGCATCTTTCTCATCTAAACTTTTTGAAAACAAATTTTCATATACTTCCACCCCGCAGGTGCCATACCTCATAAACTGGGACGCCACTGCTCGAACGGAGCAATGGACAGCTGACAAAAGGCAAATGAACCTGGCAAGCATCGATGTCACTCTACAGTATCGTGCGCAATCGGACGGTCGCCACGGCATATCGAACAATCTACAGCATGCCTGGTAAAGCTTGATGCTGGCTAGCAGGCTTCCCAATGGCAGCAAATCATATTTTGCCAGGAGGTTGCTTGCAATTGCCTGGATGCCATCCACTTTGCCAACTGAAAAAGGGCTGCAATTGTGCCAGAAACAAGTGCAGAATGCAAACTAATTATGCGATGTGAAAACATACTATTATGTCCGCACTAGCCAAGTTTGCAACCCATGTGCTATTGGTCATACTACCCCTTGGATGCTGTTAGGAGCCAGGTGTGCCCTGCTTTGCTGAAGCATTGTTTGCTTCAGAAGTTGCATTCCGACTATTGGTTTAAAAGAAAATGATGTATACCATGATTATATATATATGTATGCATTATACATATATCGATTTATACCATAAGGAACCAGCCCAACCCTTGGCAGCATCAGTCACTAGAACAATTAGTCTTGGTGCAACTGTCTCACCGCTGAGTGGCGCACCAAGCCATCAAAAGTGTCACCTATCAAGGGCCGGGCGGAACAAAATGAACTTGGCGGAAGAGTGAAGGCATCAGCAGCCAACAGCGAACCGTCTGAGTGAAGGCACCAGCAGCTTTGGAGCAGCTGACAAAGAGAGAGGCTGCGCAGCCAAGCATTGGCAAACGTCCAGGACTGCTCCTCAGTCTTCCAAATGCACACATCAGTCTCAGGCGATGCGGACGATGAACACGCACAACCAAGTTGATAGCAATCTGAGCTTGAGATGCCTGCCGCAAGCCATGCACACAATCATCCATTTGGGAAACGACACGGGCCTTGGTGCAAAATAAATGTTTCTGATCAAAGTCACGCGGTGATTCCATTGATCGAATCCACTCCTGTGATCATGGCCAAGTCGTCCTGCTGACCTGATGGTGCCAGCATGGGCATGGCTCAAAGGAGGATCCACCAGAAACGATCAGAACATGCAGATTTGGGGGTCCTTTCTTTGAGCCACACCACCTGCAAGCACCTCTGATTGGAAAGGGCAAGAACTGGATCTCTAAAAGAAAGCCATAAAATTCAAATGGCAAAGTTGCCCGAGTGCCTGCCTTTGCGAGAGGAGAGCGGGTGCACAATCGCACTCAAGGCTCGAAATTCTTCGCCCACCTCGCTTTTGGGGCACAAACGATGGTGGAAAACATGGACTGCTGCAGGGCAAGCAGCATAGTCTGTAGGTATCACCCTTGTAGTTCCTGCAGAACCCCCTATTTTTCTGCAATACTATTGATATTGTGCCCAAGCTGCCGCAGCGGAAAGGAGACGAAGGGCAGCAGGAGAATCTCGAAGTTGAGGTGGTGCCTGTTGGATATGAAGAAGGAGCATTGCACTTGATGGGGTGCACAAGCTGCCAGAATAAGCATGTCTCTGCATTTGCTACTCGAAACAATTCACTGCAGCAAGACTCCCTGGCCTCCGCACAGGCTGCTGCCTGCCAAAGTTGGTTCACGGTGTGAGTTGGCAGGTCCTTCCGGCAACACATTCTCACACACAGCACTGCAATTTGCAACATTCCTGTTCAAACCAATCAAAATTTTGGCGGTCTTGCACAGGCTCAGCTGGAGCCAGCCGCCATTCAATCTGGCGCTCAGCGTGTTTCTTCTTGTCTAAGTCTCGTTTGTGGATCTGAGACACTCACCCAAAAAGAAACAAATGCCAAATGGTGGGCCGATTCAGATTCATAAGAATGTGCATTTCTATATTAATAAAATATATACTTCTCATGACTTCTCACCTTTGTGTACCTGCTCGCTGTGCTGTTCATTAATGCAATACAAATGAAAATGATTATAATGGCGGCCTAGCACTTAGAATATTACTTAAACATAAAAACAAAAAATTGTTTTCGAGAGCAGGCTCTGGAACATATACATGTTTTCAAACCTTTGCAGTTTCAATATTAAAACCTGATAGAACCCACGAACCCGAATGCAGTCACTTTGTATAGAAGCGTAGCACTCAAAGCGTTCTTGTTTTCGGAGATGACTCGCAGAGTCATCAAGTAAAGCAGCGCCAGCACCTCCCCAGCCCTGCGGACACTCTTGCTTGACACTCTTGCTGGACACTCTTGACACGACACTCTTGCTTGACACTCTTTCTTGACACTCTTTGCTAGACAATCTTGATTGACACTTTCTCTTGACACTCTTGCTTGACACTCTTGCTGGACACTCTTGATTGACACTCTCTCTCTTGACACTCTTTGCTAGACAATCTTTCTCGACGCTCTTTCTTGACACTCTTGCCTGACACTCTTTGCGGGACACTCTTGCTGGACACTCTTTGCCAGACATTCTTGCTGGACACTCTTGCTTGACACTCTTTCTTGACACTCTTTGCTAGACACTCTCTCTTGACCCTCTTTGCTAGACACTCTTGCTTGACACGTTTGCTGGGCACTCTTTGCTAGACACTCTTCCTTGACACGTTTGCTGGGCACTCTTGCTGGACACTCTTTGCTAGACATTCTTGCTAGACACTCTTGCTTGACACTCTCTTTGCTAGACACTCTTTGCTAGACACTCTATCTTGACACTCTTGCTTGACACGTTTGCTGGACACTCTTGGTGGACACTCTTGGTGGACACTCTTTGCTAGACATTCTTGCCGTACACTCTTGCGTGACACTCTTGCTTGGCACTCTTGCTGGGCACTCTTTGCTAGACACTCTTGCTTGACACTCTTGCTTGACACTCTGCTAGACACTCTTGCTGGACACTCTTTGCTAGACACTCTTGCTGGACACTCTTGCTGGGCAGGACACTCTGCTAGACGCTCTTGCTGGACACTCTTGAGATGACATTCTGCTAGACACTCTTTCTTGACACTCTTTGCTAGACATTTTGCTAGACACTCTTGCTAGACGCTCTTTCTTGACACTCTTTGCTAGACACTCTTGCTTGACACTCTTGCTGGGCACTCTTTGCTAGACACTCAAGTCTCCAAAACGAGCGTTTCATACGAGACTTCCTCCAAAACTCACGCGTCAAGTCTCCAAAAGGAGCGTTTCGTACGAGACTTCCTCCAAAAGTCACACGTCAAGTCTCCAAAACGAGCGTTTCGTAAGTCACACGTCATGGCTCCAAAACGAGCGCTTCGTACGAGACTTCCTCAAAAACTCACATGTCAAAGTCTGCAAAACGAGCGTTTCGTACGAGACTTCCTCCCAAAGTCAAGCGGAAACACCCATCGGAGCACACCCATCGCGCAGCCCTGCCAAGCAGTTTCGCGATTCCAGTCCCTCCAAACAACACCCGCTCACACGCCAATCCCAATGTCACAGCCACAGCGACATTCACCTCTACCACAACTCACAACCTCACGATTCCCTGCGCCTGCCACAATCTTTCCGCGTCCACACGTCTAACGCGCACAAAGTACTGCGCCTGCTACGAAATATCACCTCCGTCACACATCGCAACCTCACGATTCCCTGCGCCTGCCACGAAAATCGCACTTCCACACCTCAAAGCCCGCACAAAGTACTGCGCCTGCCACAAAAAGTGACAATATCGTCACTGCACTCACACAGGAAGCCATTCTTTTCGAGGTTGCGCAA